TGGTACAGGGATAAGAACAATACAATATAATGTATGTTTCCTTCAAAGCCTAAAAAGACCCACCAAAGTACATGTCTTTTTCTAAGTGATATTCACTGCCATTGTCAATGCCGACTCATTGTGATCCCAATGGGACAGGGTAGAACTGACCCCATGAGTTTCCAAGAATGAAATTCTTTATGGGAATAGAAAGTCCTTTTTCCTGAGGAGTGGCTGGTGGTTTTGAACTGCTGACCTTAGGGTTAGCAGCCCAATGTATAACCAATGTACCATGGGGGCATGTTCTAAGCAGTAAAGTATGCAAACTGCAATGGCATTTTATCTTCTTGTTGCTGTTAATTGTTGTTGAGTAGATTCCAACTCCTGGCAGGTAGACAGAGAAGAAAGGTGCTGCAGGGTGTTCAGAAGTGTGACCAAGCCTATCTTCCCAGCACCTCTGGGTGGGCTTGAAACCATTCATCTTTAAGCTCGTAGTTTGGTGCTTATCCGTTATGCCACCTGTGGTCTCCATTTTCATTGGAAGGTCTCGGATAGAAATTCAGTAGCAACTTCACAAAGGTAAAACGCCAAACCACGCCTCTCCCAACAAGTCAGTCTACCAGTGGTAGACCCCCAGCAATGCTCCCTGAGGTGTCTGAGGCTTTGTAGGCCTTTACGGGGGCAGACAGTCGCCTCTCTCTCCCAAAGATGGCAGACTCCTGGTTAGTATTATTTGTCATTTATGTATCGGAATTCAGGTGTTTTAAAAAAAAGTTTATAAATCATTTTATTGGGGGCTCTTACAGTTCTTATAACCATCCATACATTGATTGTATATCAAACACATTTGTACATATGTTACCATAATCATCTTCAAAACATTTTCTTTCTACATGAGCCTTTGGTATCAGTGCCTCGTTTTTTTCCTCCCTCCCCTTCGTAACTTTCCACCTTCGTAAACCCCTGATAAATAATAAATTACTATTTTAATTCTTACACTGTGCGCTGTCTCCCTTCACCCATGTTTCAGTTGTTTGTCCCCTGGTGTGTGTGTGTGTGATATGTTGATCATTGTGATCGCTTCCCTCTTCTTTCCCCCACGTCCCCCTTACCCTCCTGGTATCGCTTTTCCCATTATTATTCCCGAGGGGTTTATCTGTCCTGGATTGTGTGTGTCGAGAGTTCTTATCTGTACCAGTGCACGTAATCTGGTCTAGCCAGAACTGAAAAGCAGGACTGGGGTCATGACAGTGGGGGATAGAAAGCATTAAAGAACAAGAAGAATGTTGTATGTTCCACTGGTGCTATACTGCACCCTTGCTGGCTTGTCCCTTCCTTGTGACTCTTATGTGAGGGGATGTTCAAGGGTCTACAGATGGGCTTTGGGTCTTCACTCGAACCCACTTCATTCACATTGATAAGGTTTCGTTTGGGGTCTTTTAATGCCTGATAGCTGATCTCATCTACACCTCGTGATCACACAGGTTGGTGTGCTTCCTCCACGTGGGCTATGTTGCTTCCCTGCTAGATAGCCATTTGTTTAACTTCAAGCCTTTACGATCCCAGATGATACTATATCTTGTAACAACCAGGCACCATCAACTTTCTTCACTACATTGGCTTGTGCACCCATTTTGTCTTCAGCGATCATGTCAGGAAGGTGAGCATCACCAAATGCCAGGTTATTAGAGCAAAGTGTCCTTGCATTGAGAGAGGACTTGAGTAGAGGCCCATTGTCTGTCTGCTACCTTAATAATTAACATATATGTACACAGACCTATATCCCTATCATTATCTATTAATATATTTATATATGTACATGCCTATGCTTATATTATAAATGTCTTTTGCCTCCTAGTTACTTCCTCTATTTCCTTTTACTTTCCTCTTGTCCCCCTCTCATGTTCAAACTTCATTTGGCTTTCAGTAATTCCTCTCGGCCACATTACACTTGATCAAACCCCACCACACGTTCTACACCCCCTTGCTATTGATTTGATATCTCTTGATGTTTCCTTGTCCCTGGGCTTGTTGGCTCCCCCCTCCCTTTCCCCCACCTCCTCCTCTCTCATGTCCTCCAGAACTGTTGGTCCTGTTGTTTTCTCCTCAGGATTGTTTATCCCACCTATCTTATATAAATAGTCCCATGGGGGGAGAGAAGAAGAAAAAGCAAAAGCAAAGCAAAACAAACCCCCAAAAGTCTATAAATAGTTCCACGTCTGTCTGCTGACCCCTATGAACGTTTTCTGATTGGGTCTGATGAGGCCTCTCCCCACTCAGTTTGAAGTCTATTTTCAGGATTCCTCAGGGAGTTCATTGCTTTGCTTCCCGGGCTGCTCTGTTGCGCTCCCTTCCTGGTGTTATGCCTTGCATCTTGGGGGTGGGGGGGGAGGGACTCTGGTGCTGCCCCCACCCCGCCCACAGGGCTGCAGGTTCCTCAGGGGCCGTCGTGTCTCATGGTGAGTTTATCTCTATGGTCCTCTCTGTGCATTGGCTGCTCCGAGCAGTCATGTTGTCCTCAAGGCTTGGTGGGCCGGGATGGCATGCAGGAGTGTTAGCACTGTATTTATGATACTGCTCTAGCCTGGGCATAGCTCCAGCAGTCTGATATGACAGCGAGGCAGGAAGTATTGCTACCAGGGTTCCTGTTCATACACGAATGGGTTGATTTCAAAAGAAGCATGTTTACAGATGCCCCTGTGATGAGCAGATGGCTGCAGAAAAGTTCTCTCAGTAACACACGTGGTCTTAGTTTCATTACGGTCCTTTATAAAAAGGTTCCAATCAAAACCAAATCTTCCCAGAGGCTCACCCATGCCAGCCAGTGAAAGTCACGCTGGACAGCACAGCTCAGTAGGCTATGGCAACAATTTCTGGGGTCCCAGACGGGTCACCTAGACAGATTTTCTTGAAGGACACTGGAGGATCTTGGGAACTTGTTCTGAAGCAATTGGATTGTTATAAGAGCTGTATGAGCACCCCAATAAAATGATTCATTTTTTAAAAAAAGAAAAGAAAATTGAAAACTGCACCGGTAAGCAAAAGGCCAGAGAAGTTGTCCCAAGGAATGTTTTTTTTCCATGATGACATTCTTTGAGGATAGCAAAGGGCTGGCCTCTGAGAATCTCACTGGGAAACCTTACCCCTCGGACCCAGTTCTGATCTTGCCCTTCATACTTTTTGTTCGAAAAACTCAAAGGAACGTTAAAAATCAAAACAAAACAAAAGCACCATTTGAGTCCCGGGAGGAGGGCCACACGGCTGTTTTGGCATGCTGCGGACTGCAGAGCAGAGCAGAGAATGGCTTGGGGATGAGCTGCGGTAGATGCTGCTGCTGCTGCTGCTGCTGCCATGAGCTGCCCTGGAGTCATGTCTGACTCAGGACTCCTGTGCGCAACACAAGGAAGCCCTGCCTGCTGGCGCCTGCGCACAGCTGCTACACGTGGGGAAAGGAGGAGGGAAGGGAGCAGTTTTCAGAAGCACAGAGGCTATGTCCAGAAAGGAGAGCATTCCACTGTGGTATAATCAAGGTATCTATGATTGTATAACTTGACTTGCCCATGTAGAATCCGGGTGAGAGGAAGCTCGATATCCTATGGGGTGATGAAGCAATCAAGGTGTCCGAGGACTAAGCTATGAAGCAAAGCAAAAATGGAAATAGCCTAAGACAAGGTACACATACTGCTTTCCTTGCAAGACACAGGAAGCCCCGGCCTTCTACCCAAGATCAGCGGCTTCTTACTTAAGCTCACCAATGTTCGTTGTTATTCTCCAAATGCACGGGGTCTTTTGTATGCAGTTCAGACACGTGAAATGTAGCTGTGATGAGAACCACCAGCGCTGTCCTTTAAATCTCTGATCGTGGTACTAATTTGCAGAAGTTATTCCAATCATGAGAGATTATTTTTGGCTGCTTCGTCTGTCTTCTGCCCGAACTTTTCTATATGTGTTGTAACTTCAGGAGTCGGGGAACCAATGCTGGCATTCTACTAGATGCACGATATATTTATTTAAACCCTGTGTTCAGAAATTGGGCAGGTAGGGGAAAGGGGTTCACCATGAAATGAACTTAGGTCCAAGTTGCACACGGTCTCATTTGAAGTCATGACCATTCTTCCTTTTGGATTAAAATTTTCAGGAGTTCTTTTGCCTAGCTTCTTTTCAGTCTTTGGGAAATACTCACTTGTGTGTGTCCATGTTTTTGTAATATCTAACATAAAGTTGGGGTTTCTTTTGTAACCCACTCTGATACTTTTTCCCCTATATATAAACCAAAACTCATTTGTATTTACTATACTAGGTATGTTATCTCATATTATATATCTTAATTTTCTTCATAATCATGTTTGTTCCTGGAAATGGTCTCTACACTGATTAAAAATTAGCTATCTGTACTATACAGATACACTTGTTGATGTGGTTATTATTGTTAAGTGGTATGGACTTGGCTCCAACTGATTGCAACCCTATGTACAAAAGAACATATACTACCCTATAGATGCTGCTTACTCTTGTGCCATCCTCACAAATGCCATGCTTGAGTCCACTGTGCCAATCCAACCCATCAAGCATCTTTCTGTTTCGTTGACCATCGATTTTACCAAGCGATGTCCTTCTCCTGGGACTGACCTCTCCTGATAAAGTATCCAAAACATGTGAGACAGAATCTTACCATCTCGCTTCTAAAGAGCATCTGGCTGCATTTTTGCCACCACAGATATATTTATTCTTCTGGCAGTTCATGGTACTTTCAATATTCTGCCTATTATAGTACGTAAAAAAATCCATGAAGTGAATTATCAGGCGCAATCAGTAACTTTTCTTCTCCTCTTTTCCAGTGTTCACTGGGCCCCTGACTCCTGGGAACCATCAGGAGAACTTAGGAGATCACCGTAGACAAGACGGACCAGAGAGAGTGCATTTGGATGGGCGTACGTGAAGATGTGAGTTTGTGTGTGTTTCTGTGTGAGAGAGACAGAAAGGGAAAGGGTTTCTGGTGTATTTCAAATTATAGTACTGACTGAAATATAACAACAGTTTTAATGAGTTGGTCGCGATTCTGGTATTTATTGTTAAGTGTTCTCAAGCCAGTCTCCACTCAGAGTGACATTATGTACAACAGACAAGCAACGCCCGGTCTGGCTCCACCCTCAGATTCTGCGGGTCAGCCCCTGGGCCGGTCCCCCCCTTTTTTGGTTGTTCCTTAGCCAGCCCTCCCTTCTTTAGGGACCGGTCCCTTCGGATAATACGTCCAAAGCCCAGCAGTGTAAGCCTTTCCATGATCACTTTTAAGGAGCACCTGGACTGTACTTCATCCACCAAAAGCTTGTCATTCTTCTGGCCATCCATGGACTATTTAAGATTATTTTCATCTCTATCAGCAAGGAGAGTAAACAGCCATGTTCACATTAATATTTCTGATTTAAATAACATCCTATTTTCTACTTTAGCACAATTCTTGCCAAACTTTGCAAATTAGCTTCCCACCCCCCTCAAAAAAAGCTGCTTTAAAGGTTGTCATAAGATATTCAGTTTTAAGATGAGAACATTATAGAAATGAATCTGCGTTAGAAAACCCATCACCAATGGGTAGCAGAAACAAAATAGGAATGGAGACATCAATGCTGTTAGGATTTTGAAATGCACCAGGAAGTTATCTCATTAGTGCTTGGTTTGTCTGTCATAAAGTTGTAGCTTGCATCTAGGAAAAGTTTCACAATATTCAATCATGAGATCCAGATACTTATACTATCAAAGTTTTGATTAAACTGATACCACTGTAACAGAGCTCTATGGAGGCAACGGTGATATTACTGCAGTAGAAAAATCAATCATGTTTCCTCTCAAATTTACACTGTGGCCTAGGTTCATTATAAAAGCTGTCCTTAAGCCCTATACCTACCCCTTTGATTTGAATGGTTTTCTGAACAAGCATAGCATAAACTTTTATTCTCCCTTGATTAAATAGTGTTACAATTGCAAAAGAATTTAAATCCAAAGATCAATTTTAGTTTTAAAAACTAGGAGAAAAAAAGTTATTATCAGCAATGAATATGGAGAGACTTCTTGAAAATACGAGGGCAAGTTATTTTGGAAACAACCGACAGATAGAAATGTATTTTATCATATATATTCATAGTCCTTCTTTGGGGGCAGAGACAGGGAGATGGATGACGACAACACTACTGCTTTCTTGACAACTGCTCTCCGGCCCTGCCAATGTCCAGGGGCGAGCGTTTCATGAGTGGCTCCATCCAGTTCTTCCGCTTAGACTTCTAGTCTCATTCCAATTTAGGTTTCTCCTTCTCTTCTTCCATACCTAGAAATACAGGCAAAGTGCTTTATTTGGACATCAGAGTAAGCTAGGAGCGGGTTTGTCAAACCTCCTTTAAAAAAAAATCTCATCTCCTCATCCTTCTCCTCCTCTGCCCTTCAATTTCCTCCTCGCGAAGGAGGAGGGCATTCCTAACCTTATTCAGAAACTTCCTCAGCGGCTTCTCACCCCACCCTTTCCCAGAATCGGATCACAGCATCTTCAGGACACCCAGCCCCTATCGCTTTTGGGAGGGAGGGACTCAAGTTCGATCTTGACTCCTTGGGTTTGCAGAGAAAGGCCGTCCTGGCTGTCCTTTAAGCAGCTTCGGGGATCAGGCACGGGCAGGTCATGTGCTGCAGACAGCCCTCATTTATTCTATTTCACCATCTCGTCTCAAGTCAAGACTGTACTCTCAAAATCCCAGAAGCCTGTTTTTCTCCAGCTTGCAGAGAGTCTATTAGTCACAACAAGTGTGTATGTTTCATATTTATACTTAAACTTAACCCAGTCCTGGGAGAACTGTTTTTCTTCCAAATGCACTCGTACGTACTGGACCGGTCAGATCACGGTCTGCTGTCCAGAGAGGAGTCAGTGCCGTGTCCTTTTCCTACAGATGAATATGCCCACGTGATTCTCGTGAATTATAGCTGGTTAACGCTCCCCACTGCTTTTCTTCCAGTTCACCTCCAGATACACACTCTTCTTTAATATTAAACATCCCACAGACGTTTTGCTTGTTTGCTTTAATAACAGTCATAGAACAAGAAAACCCAAAGGGTTGGCAGTTTTCTTGTATAACCTGCATCTTCTTTGAAGGCGGGGCTCTTACTGGTGTTAGCTCACAGTTCTATGACAGCATCTAAAAAGGTATCTAGTTCCCAGCCGTCGCTTGATTAATCTTTGTTAACTAAGTTAATAAGCAACCAATACAGAGAGAACTTCAGAAAGCTGGACTCAAGGGAAAACCATGGACCAAATTTGAGACTTGAATAAAAAAAGGATAAAGCCCAACCCCAGAGGCTCATTATGATAGAGTTTATCTTAGGGAGGACACCCGCTACCCAATATTAGTCTAGTTTATGGGCTCAGCGTGGTGGCAGTGGGATGTGAGTGACACGTGTCTGAGCAGGCGTGCTTCGACAGTCTCTTATATTTTTATGGCTGATGGAATCTACCACACTTTCCCCCACGGTAGCCCGTTTCCCACGGGCAGAAATCAGTAGCACGTTTCCCTAAGTACTGTACTTCTCAGAAACCATATCCGGGAAAACTTCACCTTGAGAAGAAGGAAGGGCGTCTGAAATAAAGACTGGGCTGCAGGGGAGGAGGTGGGAGAGGCCTTCAATGTGGGGCGCCCAAAGCAAAGGCGGAAAAACACAACGTGGGTTCCATTCAGATAGCACACCTGACTGGAGCCCCAACTTCCGTCCGCTGTGCCTGGCCTGTGCAGATGCCACCAGGAGCTCACGGCAGCTGGCTTTGCTTTGAAGCCTGTTTCCTCCACAGTGTGCTCTTGCAGCTATCTTCAAAAGGGTGTGTGGGTGTGGGTGGGTGTGGTGGGGGGGTGAGGTGTTCATTGACCCACAGAAGGAGAATGGTTCCCCACCTACTTTACTTTGGCAGCTTTGAGGTAAAGGGAAATAATCAGACAGCTTTGAAATGGTGTTTGGAGGAACCAGAAATGAAATTTCCACACAGAAGTCGAAGGAAACCTGCCACAAAGCTGAGGTCGGAGAGCCCTGTGGGCACGCAGGGGTCAGGCCCAGGGATTTCTGTGGCACTTCAACCAGGGCACGGTGCGGGGCCCGGGGAGGCCTGGGGTGTCTGTGGAGGCTGAGAGTGGACTGACAGGCAGGGGTTTCTGCTCCTGTCCGCCTGACCCCGATCGCCTCTCTTCTCTGCACTCTTGCCCGCTTCCTCCACCCTCATGCCAAACGTCAGTTTTTGGACGCTCGTTTCCAGTCTTACAGCGTTTAATTTTAATCTGACTGGTCATCTCGGACACACGGGGGTTGACCGGATGACAGGGAGATTGTTCTGACTGCTGAGTACAGAAATATTTCATAATATCAACAGGAGAGCCACCTTGAATGACTTTCTTTTAAAACGGGCACGTGCTTAACAATGCTCCTAAAGCATATCATGTTGGTTTCCCAAGCGAGGTCTATGGTTCCGAGAGAGGTTTCTGAGATCCCACATGGCCGGGTGTGCACACACTGGAACAAACGCACCGCACTGAAGGTTAGTCAGGGGATGCTGGCTCTGCGACCACTTGTTTTGATGAGCCTTTTAAGATTCCTGGGCCTCAGCTGCCTCTTTGTAGCAAGCTTAGATGTTTGAGCCTCTTCTTCAGCTCTATGATGCTTTAATGATTTCAGGTATGATTTTATGCTGCAGTTGAAACTAAGGTAACTTAACCAAGCAGAAGGAGTTGAGTCAGTCGCAGAATACAAGGAAGAGGCTCGGCTGTGGCCTTGCTTTCTGGGAGATTTTGTTTGGAGTGCAATAAATGTTGAGCTATTGAGCATCATAATACTGTACTAAATTGTCAATCCATACACACACACACACACACACACACACACACACACACACACACACACAACCATGACACAGGGCACACTCTGCTTTGAATCAGCAATTTCAAATGACCCACCAACACAACCAGGCTGTTGATGTGATCATGTAACATGACCAGGCGAGGAGGAGGGGAAACCAGAGAGCCATGTAAGGGGACAGCGATACTCAATTCCGATCCACTGTTGACAGAAGGGAATTGCTGGCTTGGAGTTGCCAGATCCTTTAATATTTGATAAGAAGCTGGGAAGCTAGCCTTTCTGCGAAATCTTCCAGTTTTTAAATGCTAGCCTTGTACCAGAGTTTCCCAGAGAGAGGCCTAACCATGTTCTCAGCAGGTAAAAATGTGTGGGTGGCCATTGCTGGTTTGTAACCATGTTGTAAGGGAGGACAGTGGCTAGTTGATGTAAAACATCTGCCTCTTGGACAGGACCAAGATGGTCCCCTGTAAACAAAACTAATACCGGTGCTCGAATGAATGACCAAGTGCAATGCAACCTGACCTCGCACTCCGCAGAGAACGGCACAGAGCGCTCGGCTGAGCAGACCGCTCAACGACCCTGGGCTCCCTGCGTGTCGTCAGTTCCTTGTTCAAAGCTGCTACAAGGGAGGGCTGTCTACATCTAGGCTGGGATTTCCCGCTCTTGCTTTTCAGGCTACCATCAGGGAGACCTAGTGGGAAAGTGGCCAGCGAGCCTTCAGACAGTCGAGCAAATGCAGGAGAAAGAGGCAGTCATCAAGACGAAATGCTCCTGAGTCCCGTCTGTTGGACAGAATAGCTGACATCTCCGCGTGGCCTTTCTCTTGAGAAGCGCGAAAGGTTCGCATTCTCTTCCGCTACGTGTTTCTGAAGGTCAACTCGGCACTTTTCTAAGTGAGCTTAGAAAGAGGAAACTCCTTAGAAGATTCATTCCTGGTTCCCCCAAGGTGTGGCCTGAACGGAATCTAAACGTTGGACATTTTTTTCTAACAGGCTATTTATTCAGCTCCAACTGGCTGCTGAGAAAAGGCTTTCTCCAGTTCCTCTGGGCCTCTGGATGTGGGCTACGAGCTGGATGGTGCCGCCTTGGAGGAGACATCACACGCAGGCCAGTGCAGTGATCACATGGTGACTGGGGTCTATGCCATTACACCCAGCTCCTGGCGTAGGCTCTGACCTGCAGTGGCGGGAGTTGGGGGGTTAGGGAAGGGGGGTGGCCTCGATGTTTGGGCAACAAACCTGCTGCACTTACTCATCAGGTCTGGAGCATTTTGACCATGTCCAGAGCTCGCTAAATTTCACTCCAGTCATCTTGCCCAGGGATGCCGCATTGTGAAGGGCTCAACTCACTACCCGCCTGAGCTGCAGCTTTTTCTACCTTCCACCTGTTATGTGAACACACACACACACACACACACACACACACACACACACACACACACACAGCGGGCAGATTTTGCACAGCTCAGAGAAACAGAAACTAAAGAGAAATCAAACCATGGGTTAATTAAGGGAGTTTGGGCAACAATGAAGTCTTATTCTGGCCACCCTGAGACCTTCCCTACGGCGGTCAAGGGTGAGTCATGGGGGTCAGAGGCCCTTAGCGCCGCCTACAGTTGAAGCAGAATGGTGGGGTCAGTGGGCTTCTCTGAGCTGACTGCACCCACCCAGTGCTTGACAGAAACAGTCGAGAGCTGGTTAACTTTACTGGGATTTTCTGGTTTCAGGTAGGAACTTCTCGGTTCGATTTGCGGCCCTTTGAGCTGAGTCGGAGCCCTGGTGGCGAAGTACGTACTCATTCTGCTGCTGCAAAGTCACCAGTTTGAAACCACAGGCTGCTCTGTGGAAGAAAGATGGGGCTTTCTACTCCCGTCAACCATGATACAGTTTAGAGAACTCACAGGGATCGCTCTACGTCGTCCTACAGGGCCACTCTGAGTCGGCATCACCTTGATGGCAGTGAGTCAGTCGGCTGTTGGTGAGCTAAGTGAAGGAGATCTGGAGGCACATTGGGTCGCCAGCCACCATGGTGGTGGGTCAACCCCCCAGCCACTTTGAGGCAGAAGAGAAAGGGTGCCTGTCCCTTGAAAGAGTTATAGTCTTGGAAACGCTGTGGCGGGTCATCACGAGTCAAAGTCAGCTTGGTGGTGGTGGGTTTGGGTGAGCTAAGTAAGGAGCATGGTGGCACATTGGTGAAGCGCTCCCTTGCTCACTAGAAGGGCGGGTGTTGAAAGGCACTGCTCGGCGGGAGCAAACTGCAGCAGGCTGCTGCTGCGCCGCGCCGGCTGTGGCTGTGAGAAGCATGGAGTCCGCCCCAACTCATGAGCAGCCTTATCGATGTACAGCAGAACCAGGTACTGCTGGGCCCGCACCATCTGCACTCTGGCTGTTATGTCTGAGCTCAATGTCACAGCCACGGCAGCAATCCACCCTATGAGTACAGCCTTGGGGACCCCAGGGGGCAATTCTACCCTGTGCTACAGGTCACTACGAGTAGTAATTCAACTCCGCCGCAATGAGTTTGGGGCGTGTTTGTTTAGCTAAATATGGTTAATCAGTGAGAGTCCTTGTTAAATACCTGTCTGGTTAACTCTGTATCTTTCCCTATAAAAGTTTATAGGCCCGCTTCTTTCCTCTTCGATTTGAATGTTTCACTGGGTCCCGTTCAGATACCTGCCAGCAGCTCTTAATGTCACATTGTTGTTATAAAAACCAAACTCCCCCTCAGTGAGCCCAAGTTCAAGATGAAAGAAGCGGTCACAGCGGAGGCTCCTGCGGCTCTGCGCAGGCTCTGGCTTTGTGGGCCCCGCCCAGCACTTACTTCTCTGTGTGTCCCAGATGTAGTTGTTCAGAACTTCTCCCAGCAGGTACAAAAGGTTCATTAAGATGGTTGTGGACCCAAAGAAGATGATTCTGGCTCCCGAGCCGATATGTTCCAGGAAAGGGTAGACCCACATCCCAGTCACATGATGTATCCAACACACCCTGGGACGGAAGCAAAGACAGGAGTTACACAGGTCAGATCGCACAGCAGTGTCCGCCGCAGACATAGGCTGCTCCCTTGCCCCAGCCCACCGTGATGCTGCCCCTACGCCGGAGTCACCAGAAATAGATGCCGCTGTTCTCTTCCACTTTTTCCCTGGGAAGACTGTAGACTCATGGAAATGTTACAAAGAGTGTGTGTCTGCCCTCTGCTCAGATTTCCCTGATGCTGACGCCTCATAGAATCCTGAAACGATTACTAACATGAACTAGGAAGGCTGTAATAATACAATCAGAGAACCTCGGTGGTTGAAATGGTTAAGTGCTAACCACCCAGATGACCTTGGAAGAAAGGCCTGGAGATCTACATCTGAAAGATCATCAGCTCCCTGCCATTGAGTTGATGCTGACTTATCCCAACCCTCTTGGGACAGAACAGAACGGCCCGTTGAGTTTCCAAGGTTGTAAATCTTTACAGGAGTTGAGAGCCTCATCTTTCTCCCACGGAGCAGTTGATAAGTTTGAACTGTTGACATGGTAGTTAGAAGCACACTGTGTGCCTTAGCCACTAAGAACCCTACAGTTCTACTCTGAAGCGTACTGTGTCCCCAGGGGTTGGAACTGACATGACAGTGAGTGGTGTTTTTGCTTTTGGTTTTGTAAACAATCCTCAAACCCCATTGCTGTCTAGTCAATTATTTTCCAGTAATAGTACAGACTCAATGACTGACTTTATTTGGAATTCCCTAGTTTTTCCATCAGTGCTGTCTATGTGCAGCAGGATCCAATGCAGGTTCGCACGTTGTGTTTACTCATCACATCTCTTTATAGTCAACTCTGATCTAGGCAGCTCGTCAGTCTTCCCTTCTCTTTCACGACACCTGGGGGGTTCTGGTCAGGTCTTTGAAACTGTGGTGTTTTTAATACTTTAAGCAATGCTGTTATAGAATCTCCGAATCACTTCTTTACATCCTGAACCAGCATGCCCTCACGCAGCCACACGGCCATGAACCTAGGTAACATGTGTCGGGCATCGTGCCCTGCTGCCTTCATTAACAGGCAGAGCCCTTCCTGCCATCAGCGACAGCCCAGCTTCCCAGTCCTCTGAGTTCTTGATCTCACAGGACTTTCTTTTCTATTTCACATACTTATGTGTAATTATTCTGTTTGTGTTCTGGAGATATTTTCAGTTCAGTGGGAACAGTAACATCATTAATCTCCACTGCTCTCAAAAGTTTAGTTAGGCTCTTTGCTCCATTGGCTTGGTTCTGGTACAACTACTAACAGCGGTCATAGGTTCTTTATCAAAAGCTGTCAATTTTGAAGATAAAGGACTAGTAACTTTACTGCCCTGAGAATGACAATCGACATTTATAGTTATGTGCTTGAAGGTCTTTTGCTCTTCTCATCTGTGGCTCCCCCCTTTTAAGCAGCCTGTCTACATATAGCAGGGGCCCTGCTGGTGCAATGGGTAAACACTTGCCTGCTAACAAGGGTTGGTGGTCTGAGCCCACACGCAGCTCTGTGGGAGAACTGACATGAAGGTACTTAATAACACCACCTACATATACAGGCACCCCTCAGGGATACTGGGGGTTTGGTCACAGCAGCTCAGCAAAGCAAATATGGCAATGAAACAAGTTGCAGGTATTTTTCAGTTTCCCAGTGCATGTACAATTAGGTTTACAATCTACAATTCTCTATTAAGTATGCAATAGCATTATGAAAAAAGTCTGAAAGACTGAGAATTACCAAAATGCGATGCAGAGATACAAGGTGAGTGCATGGTGCTGGAAAAATGGCACTGTTGGACTTGCTCAACCTGGGATTGGCACAAACCTTCAATTTGTAGAACATGCACTAGCTTTGGGGTGCAATAAAATGAAGCATGAGAAAGAGAGTGATGCCCGTGTACTGAACTGAGGCAGGATCCAGAGGCAGCCACCAAGTGGACTCCAGTTCATAGTGACCATATGGGTGTCAGGGTAGAATTTTGCACCATCGCACTTTCAAAGGCACTTCAGGGTGGACTGGAACTTCCAACCTCTTCTTTGTAGCTGACTGTGTTGACCATTTGCATCCTCAAGGGCCTCTGAGGCAGGGGCATATGGGGTCTCTGTGAGTTGGGGTCATCTTTATGTCAACTGCTTTTTGTTTTTCGGTAGCGCTGTATCCTCCAGGCATTGAAAATTGGTTCTTGGGAAGGGTACAAAAAGTTCTACTATTTTACATGTAACACACAAACACATGCATGTGCACAGTACATAAGTAGATATGTTAGGGGGCTTCAGTAAGTTGGTGAGAAAATGACATTATCTTTAATTCCATCTCAACAAAATTGATCTTCCTGTCAACATAATCTGGATGATTGTATACTTGTTTCTCAGTGAGGTAAGCTAAGAGCAATTCAAATTACGAATAGCAATTATACTTATTCCTGGTATCCTGCTTGCTTTTGCTAGAACAAACCTTGCACTTGCAGCTTTTGGTATTGTCTTGGATGTTGTCTGCATTGTGATTTTGGTCTGTATGAAATAATTTTATAACCCAAATAAACATAGCAATAATAATACCCACATTCCCTCTACCTTTCGTTGTTGTTAGGGGCTACTGAATCTGTTTCAACTCATAGCAACTCTATGTACAATATGATCAAATACAATCATTGCTGTTTGAGACCACTGTTGCAGTCATGGTGTTGAAAGTATGTATATATGTATGCATTATCTATCTACCTATTTATTTTCCCGATTATGGGATTTATTAGGGAGGATAACAGATAACAATTCAGAATCAGAACCACTTAGGATACAGCCAGGATCAGCTCTTCTTAGCCATGCCCTCAGGCATACCTCTTTCTGGTCCTTGACCTCTTAAGCACATAGTCTCTTAGTTTCTGCCTTTCTCAGTCAATGTTACAATGTCCTTTTAGCATTGTAGATGAGTGCCCAAAGGGCATTTTACTATACCATGAACTTCAGCCCAAAGTTACTCCTCCAATTAAGTGTCCGGAGGCACCCTACTCTGCAAGTAAGCTTCCTGCCTGAAGGCACTCAGCCCACCGCTTTGTCTGGTGCTCTCAATGCTCCTGCTTCTGCTGCTGCCTCTGCGACTCCTCGATACTCCTTTGGCTTTGTCTGCAGAATGGAGGAAATTCTGTGTGCAGGCATTTCCGATTCGAAAAGATACAATGTACTCCTGGATCTTCTTTTTTCTTTTTTAACTACTTTATTGGGGGGCTCTTACAAATCTTATGGCAATCTGTCATTCGATTGTATTAAGCACACTTGTAAATATGTTGTCGCCAACATTTCCAAAACATTTTCTCTATACTTGAGCCCTTGGTATCAGCTCCTTCCAACGCGCCCCCCTCCACCTTCCCATCCTCATGAATCCTTGTTCAATGATATATTATTGCTGTTACTTTGTGTCTTACACTGTCCATTGTCTCCCTTCATGCACATTTCTGTTATCTCTCCCCCTGGAGGGTGGGCTATAAATCTAACCTTGTGATGGATTCTCCTTTCTCCCCATTCCCCCTCCCTGCCCATGCCATCCCCCTACCCTCATGATGCTGCTACTCCCACTATTGTTCCTGAGGGTTCTATCTGTCCTGAATTCCATGTGTCGAGAGCTCTTATCTGTACCAAGGTGTGTACTCTGGTCCAGCAGGATTTGTAAGGTAAAACTGGGTCATGGTAGGGGGTGGGAGGAAACATTCAGGAACTGGAGGAATGCTGTGTGTTTGTTGGTGCTATACTACACCCTGGTTGAACCGTCCCTTCCTTGTAACCGTTCTGTGGGGGGATGTCCAATTGCCTACAGATGGGCTCCACTCCAATCCTCCTCTTTCACATCAATATAATTGGGATACCTCTCTTTTTGATACCTGAAATCTCATGATCACACAGTGCTTCTTCCATGTGGGCTTATTTGCTTCCCTGATAAATGGCTGCATGTTTAACTTCAAGCCTTTAGGACCCCAGATGCTATATCTGTTGATAGTCGGGCACCATCCACTTTCTTTAACACATTTGCTTCTGCATCCATTTTGTCTTCAGTGAGTGTGTTGGGAAGGTGAGTATCAAAGAGTGCCAGGTTATTAGAAAAAAGTGTTCTTATGTTTCGGGAGGCCTTGAGTAGAGGCCCAAAGTTCATCTGCTATCTTAATATTTAACATATAAAAATCTGTACATTGGCCTCTATCCTTCTCATTATAAATTAACGTATTTACATAGATGCATGCAAATAGATATACCTCTATAAATAGCTTTTGCTTCCTATTTCTTTCCTCTATTTCCTTTCACCTCCCTCCTGTCCACTATCATGCTCAATAAAAAAAGATTTTTATTGAGAGATGCCTAGGAGGAAGAAAAACCATCTCAGCCAGCTTGGCTGGTCTCAGTATTTTCTTACTCCTCCCACTGTAAAACACAGACTCTTAAGGATTTGCGTACAAGAGATTGTTGGGAAAATCCCTCCAGTGGCAGGGAGTAATGTCCACCTTGGGTAACAAAGGAGTCTGGAAAATGTAGTTCTAAGGTATTGCCTGGAATCTGTGGATGGCCTGTCCAAATCTGTATCAGTGCTCCCATGTCCTATGTCATTTCCTGTCCCCGCCCTGAGAGATTTCATACACATAATTCTTTATGGTATTGGGGTGGAGGATTTTACTTTTGTAGCTCCTTCTTGCTGCGACCCTCTGCTTTTTACCAAACATAGGTTGCTTTGAGGACTAAGGTGCGTCTGACCCAAGCCATGATACTATCAATTGCCTTATATGTATATGAAAGGTGGACACTGAATAAGGAAGATCAAAGAAGAATCGGTGCATTTTAATTATGGTGCTAGGAAAAATACCATTTGGAAAGTACCATGGACTGCCAGAAGAACAAACAAATCTGTCTTGGAAAAAGTACAACTAGAATGCTCCTCTGAGGCAAGGATGGTGAGACATCGTATTGTGTACTTTGAACATGTTTTCAAGAGAGACCACTTCCTGG